GCCCACTGCATGTGGAACAGGGATGCTCCAGCGCGTTCATTGGATTTTCCGAGGCTCTGCAGCACCCGGGGACTGGACCCGGTGATGATGGAAGCATCCACTCCATCCAGGTATCTACATCTTGATGTGTTGATGCTCCCGACTTCACACTGACAGGTTCAAGGCACAGCATAGCCCGCACAGCAAACAGCACACCCTCTCACACCCTATACTCACTACCTTTCGGACTTGCGGTATCTAACGACATCCTGCAATGCTCCATTAGTCAAAGCTAGCTCGCTACCTTGGCTACAGCTTCCACCATGTCCTCCGAAGAGTCCAACATCCTCGCCGAGTCCTGGCGTCACGATGCATTCTGATAGCGAGCAGTACTCGGCTGGTGAGGACATGTCCAACTCACCATCCTCGTCTCCTTCTCCGCCTATGGTCCTCTACCAGCCACCAAACGTGTGGTCAATGATCCGGGGTGCGGCCATCAACCTGTTCCTCCCCTTCGTCAACGGCATGATGCTGGGATTTGGCGAATTGTTTGCGCACGAGGCTGCCTTCAGGCTGGGATGGGGCGGCACAAAGGTACGGCCCATGATGGTGCTCTCAGATCAGACGCAGTGCGCACCGCGACACCGCGCTCCTGCCATCAGAGGGGTGAAACTGCTAGAACTGCCCAAGAATACTAACGAGACTTTCCAGGTCTTTCCTCTCTCTCAAGACGAACTGCCCATGCCATCGGACCTGGCCTCGAAATCCGCGATAAAACGATAATGCAACCAAGCCTAGAGGATCTGACAAGCTTGGAATGACGAGGGAGCAACACCAGGCCGCGTGCTGGCACTTGATCAGAGGAGCTGGATCCCCATAGTCCCTGGAGAATACATGTCATCGGGCCCACGTTGCCTTGCTGGGCGAGCTTGGGTGCTTGGGAGTTGACTGTTGGTAGAACCAAGCCTTTGAGATAGAGAAAGGGGCAACCACACCGAGTATGACCTTTTGAGGAGAACAATCACGAGATCTGATGGACCGAGATACCTACATCAGTGTACATATATAGGGGTTCTACAGGCCATTGATTCTAGCCATTCGAGTAGGAAATACAGAAGGACAGTGGCCCAAGTACAGTTAAACTACATATATCTGATGGTTGACTCAAACCAATGCCACAAGGACCCTGGAGACCCATGGCCGTTCCACTGCCCTCTACCTACCTTATGTAGCACCAGAGCAGACACCACGGCGAAAGGAAACCTCCCACTTGTAGGCGGCCAGGCCGGAGCTGAAGGTGTAGCTCAGCCTCCAAGTCCAGATGGATTGGGAGTCCAGCTCCAGCTTGCAAGTGGCGACGTTGAAGAGGGACAGAGGCCACGGGCCGAAGAAATGCCGGCGCCGACCACCTGCAGACCCGGGATGCATGTCCAGTCCACCGGGTCGTTCCAGGGTACCCGCGGACCTACTCCGTCTGTCCGTCAGTCCGTATCGACAAGGAAAATTATTTGACTTTTGGGACTCTGTCGTCTCAACTGTCGCGACGGCTTCAACCCCAAATCGCAACACAAGAGAGGAACAAGCCAATCTGCGCAACACTGGCTCACCGTCGTCATGCTTCCGAGTAGAGGGATATCCAAGGCGAATCCAGCCTCTGCGCTGCGTTATCCACTGTTTCCTACTCGAGCACAGGTGCGTCCAGCATCCCGTCCCCTGGATGTCTGCAGCTAACATGGCCATTTCGTCTCATTGCAGCTAGCCAGACCGTCGCCAGCTTCGACCCGTTCCTTCTCCCGCTCAAGCATCCGTTCGCCATCCATATCATCAAAGCATGGCCTTAGTCGGCCAACGCAAATACCGCAGCTTGCCTCGATCGGCTCCGGAAGTGGTGCTCTGGGTGTAGCATCTGGGGTCTTCGCCCAGCGCTCCGGAACTACGCGAAACCTGTCGCTCTGGCCATTCCAGTCTAAACCGTCAGAGGCAACAGCACCACCACCAGTCGATACACGGATCGAACCAGCCGCCTCCTTTGCTGAACCGCCGACTTCTGTCCCGGATGCGCAACCTCCACCCGTGCCAGTCGAGAGCGTTAGTCCTGCTTCTGCAGCCACTCCAGCCACGCCAATCGACCCGAGCTCGACACACCTATCCCATGACTCTGTATTTGGCGACCTCGACCTGCCCTCGATTCTTGATATTCCGGAGCAGATAGGCTACCTGAAGAGTCTCGGTCTGGATTTTGGCTGGGGGCCTACGAGCTGCGTCGAGTGGGTTCTGGAACATGTGTACATATACACGGGTGCGCCATGGTGGGCGTCGCTTGCCATGATAGCCATCGTATGGCGTGCCGCTCTGTTCATGCCGACCATGACCGGCAGCAAGCACCAGGCCTTGCTGCAGAAGGCTCACACCACTCCAGAATTTATCAAGGCCAAGGAACAGTTCAACGAGGCGGCATTCGGCTCCAAGGACCAGATGGCCATGATGTCGGCTCGCGCGAGCATGAGTAAGATCACCAGACAATCCGGCGCTCAGATTTGGCGACCCTTTGTGGGATTCCTCACCGTTCCCTTCAGTTACGGCATGTTTCGACTGTTCCGAGCCATGGCCGCCATACCCGTCCCCCCCCCAGTCTGGAGACCGGCGGACTTGCCTGGTTCACCGATTTGACTGTCCACGATCCTTACTTCATCTTGCCGGCTCTCTCTGTGGGTCTGGGGGCCATGATGATGAGGGTAAGCTCCGACTACATTTCCACCCCTTACAATATCGCGTCCTGGGCGGTCATTAACGTCTCCTTAGCAACTCCAAAAAGCAAATATGTCGCAGGATTCAGCGCAGCAGGCTATGGCCAAGGGAATGATCTATATTCTGCCTCCGGCCCTCTTCCTCGGCACTGCATGGTTGCCGGCCGGGCTGCAATGGTTTTTCCTGATGCTCTCTGCTGGTTCCACCGTGCAGTCGGCAGCCACGTTGAATCCAACTGTCCGACGCTGGGCTGGTCTTCCTCCCCCCTCCCCTCTTCCCCCGGCTGCGCTGGCCAGTGCGGCTGGCGCGCAGTGGCAGGCTCCCGTGTCACGCGGCCAAGGGATCGTGGGCTCCGTGAAGAAGGACATGGGCGACATGTCCAAAGGCATCAAACGTACCTTTGGCAACGACGGCAGGAAGGCTTCAAGCCAAAAGGCCAACGAATACGAAGAGCGAAGGGCAAATGAGGAGCGAGAAAAGGCATACAGACGGATGGAAGCCATTCGTCAGAAACGTGCCGAGCAACAGAGATAGCGAGCGGGCTTGTCGTTTTCAGCGGCCTCCACCAAGCTCATGCCGAGTGTACGATGAGTGACACTGGCTGTACTATAGAACTGGCGCATAATCTCTGCCCTAAGCTGTATTTATACTAGAGAAGTGTCCTTGGCGAGGGACTGGCGAGAGAAGGCGTCACTGTAAATAATCTGATCCGATGCGACTTGTCTCGAATGTACAAACATTGTTGAACCAGTGATCTGAATACTGGTGATATGCGTATTGTGGTTGTAGAGGGTCCCTTGGCTTTTGGCAATAGTTGTCACATACAGGAAAGCACTTGTATTCAATCCTTTGCGCAATTCTAAGGATATCTAAGCGTTTAGTCTGGCTAGGCTTTGGCTTGCGATTACTGGTCTTGTCCAAAAGGATGACTTCAAGCCCGCCATTGATTATAAGTGTTTTAGATTGATTGTTGCCGCAGATCTCCCATGGTCGAATCCCGGCGATTCCAGCCGGCCATGGCGGATGGATCTGATAAAAATTACGGACTTGAATAGAAGTCTTCTAGAATACGGTTCCGTCGGAGTCGATCAGGATCGGCGGTTCCTTCGTGTTCGGGCGGCTAACCTCGGCAATCTCACGACCACCCTGTGTACACACTTGTTAGTATTTGGTATTTCTGGACAAGACATTGCGCCATGAATGACAACAATCGACCACGGTCGGTCGGTCGAGGGCAACTTACCTTCCAGCTCCCAGCCTCGAGTAGCTGCGCCAGAGTCAGCTCTCCGCCGTTGAGTTCCTGCCGCAACGCCTTGTTGACTTCGGCACAGAGCTTGTCGAGAAACCCAACCGTGACGCCGCGCCACTCGACAATGACGTCGTCGCTCGGCTCAAACATGGGCGCCACCTCGATGCCCTTCTCGCCCGTCCGTCTGCAGTAGTCACTGTAGTTCTGCAGACCGCGCTCCGTCTCGTCCCGCTTCAGCGTCATCACGCCCAGATCGATGAACAGACCACCGTTCCGGTACTCGGGCAGCCCGGTCAGCAGCTCCGTGCCGGCGAATTGGATCCTGAGCAGGCTCTGCATGGGCTGCATGAGAGAATAGGTGAGCCATTGTGTCAGCTTGTGGAACGGCAAGATGGACTCCCAGGGCGCTGTTGTAGAAGCGGATTGGGAGTTGGGGAAGGGCGAGAAGCTCGGCGAATTGGGCGATGTTGCTTGTTGCGGCATGGACGAGCACGGCCATGCGTCGCCGAGTGAGATGCCATCGATAGCTGTGCGAGATGCGGGCCAGATCGGGGCTAGGCCAGACATGAGCACGTTCCAAAGCACTGGCAAGATCACGATGGGAGTCGAGGATGCCTGTGTCGTCGGGTGGGCCAGGAGATAGTCTGTAAGCTCCTAGTCAGCCGTGGCCGTCCATCGCGTCTGCAAATGATGAACTGAGTAGAGGGTGGTGGCACATACCAATCATGTTTCCAGGCCGTCCACTGTCACCCCAAAAGTCTCTCTTCTCAGCCAATGCGGTGCCCAGTCGCATCAGCAGTTGCGCCCGACCCTCGAGTCCGGCGACCTCACAGCCGGGGCGCGACTGCATGCCCCTGGCCAGTTGGTCGACCGTCAATGAGCGGAGGCCATCTTTGTCCACCTGGAACTTGTTGCTGGGATTGCTCGAGAACAGGCCCTGCGTCGCGCATGTTAGTAGAGCTTTCCCGATACCAGTCCCGTGTTCTCGGAAGTGCTTACCGTCTTGAACATCTCCAGACTCGCAATGGCTAACCCCTCTGACCGTTTGTAAATGCGGCCATTCTCGGCACTCTTGAAGCTCCACGTCGTACCCGCGCCGGCGTCCAGCAGCACGCTAACGAGGAACAAGTCGATTAAGCGGCGGCACTTCTCAGTGTTGTCGACGTTATCAGGGAAGGTTGACAGGAGAGTGGCGATGCGATCACGACCGCCTACACAGAAGTGCTGGTATCGACCATGGCCGGGAATGGAGGAGAATGGGGCATCGTAGTCGCGCTACACGGGAAGACAAAAGTCAGTCATCCGGCGTGGTCAATTGGGCAATCGGACCAGGGGCAATGGTGGGATGATGAAAGGCGGGTAGACGGTGCGACTTCAGCGCAACATGGGGTGATATCAATGGCGTCGCGTCGCACCGCAACACAGCGTGATCAATGCAGGTAATATAGGTATGAAGGTGTAGTGTAGATAGGCTAGTCAAGCAGTAGGGCAGTAGGGCAGTAGGCTACTAAGTAGTCATCAGTGGTAATGTAGTCATGCGTACCTTGATGATACCACAGACGAAGGTGACAACGTCGGGGAACCTGTCGAGATCGACGTCAAAATGGGTGAGCTTGTTCCTCAGGGCCTTCTCGGTCACGATCTTGGACCGTTCGCGGACGGCGCCCAGACTCCTCAGATAGCCGGCGGCGTCCAACGAAGGGTCGGGCGGCTTGGGCAGGTTGACCTTGGGCAGATGCGGCGTCATTGGCGTTAAGGGGGTGGGCGGGACGCTGCCGGCGGATGTGCGATTGAGCATGCGAGAGTTGACCGTCGACGAGCTCTTGAGGTTGGAGCCTTGCGAGTTGACACTGGCCGAATCGCCGCCTGCTGTGTTGGGTTTCGACGAGATGGCCTTGGGGGTCTTGGGCTTGCGGGAGAAGAGGCCCATGGTTGGTTTTGTGTCCGGGCGGCGGACGGCGGGCGGTATCAGGCGGTTATCAAGCGGTATCGTATCGAGCGATAGTAGTCGTTGGAACTATTTTACCTGTAACAGTTTGAGAGGTAGTATGTATGCGGACGGGGTCGTCGCAAACAAACAGCTCCAGTCGGTCGGGTCTCTCTCGGGTCTCTCTCGGGGCGAGCTGACAGAATCAGAAGCACATCAATGGAGAGAGCCGGACGGGGGCAGGGGGCCAGGGGGCAAGCAGCTGGGGGGGTTCCTGCGTGCCAATGCCAGCGCCAATGCCAATCACCGCCAATCAGTGGCTATCAATGGCTATCGACTGCCAATCGGTTGATGCGCCGCTTGGCCTAGGCAAGGGGTGGTCCCGGTAAAGGAGGGTGTCTGTGGAGTAGGACTTGTCGGGTGGATGTGGGGTTGACGGAGGAGGAGGAGCACGTCGGGTCTGCTCTGCTTTGCTCTGACTTTTCTCTCCCTTCTTTTTCTCTCCCTTCTGGCAGTCTGTGTGTTCAGAAAAGTGGAGGGAGGTAGACTCTGTACAGGGACAGGGACGGACGGGGTATCTCTTGTGGGCGGAGAACGGCGATCAACGGTCGTTCCTGCAAGTGGTGCTTATCGTCGCAGGTCTCTCTTTTGTCCGTCAGTCCGTGTCGCGTTACTCAATCCCGTGAGAGCCTTGTCCCTCGCCTGTCTTGAACAGGGAGAAAGGAGAAGAAGGTGGACGACTGGACAGTTAGAGGTGTTGTGTGTTGGTGTTGACAAGAGGTACGATGTAGGTAAGCAATTGAAAGGGAGGGAAAGTCAACCCGGGGAGCAAGACCCTTCTTGGCTCTTTTTTTTTGTCAACCCGACAAACGCCCTGACTCGAGTAGACCAGCGGGATGCAGACTGCAGCACTGTGGTCAGTCAGAGTGGTGTCGGGGTGGTGTCGGCATGGGCCCCAGCGCCATGTGATAAACTACCTTGTGATAAGTATTGTGGGCGCCGTGGAAGGGAGCAGACTCGCAGAGGGCAAGAGGGGCCGAAAAACAGATCGTCAGGAACCGGGGAACCGGCTGGCCCCTCATAGGTTCGGTCCATCGACCATTCTCGATATGTGATTGGCCTCCTGGCTTGCATCCCCGAATGCTCAGGGATAGGGGTTCCAGCCTGATCCCACCATCTGTGCACGGTACTACGGGGGTCTGATTCCTGAACCAGACGGAATATTGTGTGTCGTGCTGGTGGCGTGCTTGTGGCTTGTCAATAATAAAGTCATGTCCATTCAGAGACCGATCAAATTGAGAATAGCAACAGCAGTCCAATTCGAACCCCTTGACCGTCTCATGAAAGGTGGTTGATAGATGAGAGCAGGCCCACCCGTCAGTAAGGGGCGGGTGGATAGTCAGCCAAGCAACTTCGAGATTCGAGATTCTGCGACCGATTGCACAATTTTCCGAAGTCTGGTCGGTGAAATTATTGTTCAATAAAACCTGATCCATTGGCAATTGCAACGTCAGCACACACCATTTGATTCTGTGAGACCGAGGAATATTGCAGGGAGGCTTTTCCCGTTGCAAATTCGGAGGGGTATCGAGCGCAGATCTAACGACATAAGCACTTGCTCGCGTCTTCCACTTCGTTAGTATGTTTGGTCCCAGCCGCGAGCGCGTAGTAATAGTTCGGCAAACGGAAGCTCCCAGATACATGTGAGTTCGCGACATTCTTGAGCCTCGACACCGTCGAGTGGCTGTCGACCTTGGCCCGCTCGGGTGTCTAGTCTGGGCCGCTGACCGGGTGCGCAGGGTCCCCCGTGGGAACGGTCACGGCATACTATTGGCACCAGCTAGACGAATGAGATGTGACCGAGATTTGAGCCCATTCGGTCTGGTCTGGTCCAGAAGGACAGTGTAGAATACGCCGCGCAGAGCAACACGCGACTGGCACACCCAGACTACGACGGTTATAGACGACGGTAATGAGGGAGCAGGGTGATGGCGGTGGGTGCGATGGGTAGGGCACGCATCGTCTGATCATTGATTGGATTGTATCGTTGCAGCCATGCGCTACCGGTACTCGGCTCGTGGCATAGGTACGCGCCGCGATTCATGGTACGCACCAGCACGAGTTCTGAGTAGTTTAGATCCAAGCAGCCGAGCTCATATGCAGGCCGGGCTGTCAGTCAGTCAGTCCGACACGGACTCTGAAGCTCCGGGCCCGTCGTGCGGATTAGCAGCCAAAGCGGCCGAGCTGCATCAGTTCTGGATTGGTTCGTCCAAGCTATCTCTGAGCCATCTTGGGCGAGCTCGACGCCGGACTTGGTGGTCTCTATGTCGGCAGACCATCTTCGCTGGTGTCCAAGGA